GCGGCGTGGTGGCGCTGGCGATGGCGGGCATGGCGCTGCGCGCGGGGCGCGTCGGGGCGGGCGACTGGTGGCGGCGGGCGGACGTGCGCGGCGGGCGCTTGCGGACGTTCCGCAAGAGCGTGCTGTACGTGAAGCCGCACAAGACGGGGTCCGAGTCGTTCAAGCGGGTGCTGCAGGAGGTGGGGTGGTTCTACGGGCTGCGCGTGGAGAGCGCGTCCGGCGGGGCCGGCGGCGGCGACGTGCTGCTCAGGCACCGGGCGTACCGGGAGAAGGTGACGGAGCGGCGGCTGCGCGGGTGGGACGCGGGCGAGTTTAAGCGCGGGGAGAGGGAGCTGGTCAGGGTGGTGACGATTCGCAACCCCGTGGATAGGCTGTTTAGTCACTACTTTTCGAAGCGGCGCTTCGGCAACTTTACGCCGCGCAGGGGCGAGAGGCGGGGGCTGTCGGAGGGCGAGGAGGTCGACGACTTTGAGGAGTGGCTCGACCAGTACCCGGCGGAGCAGCAGGTGCGCTACCTGATGGACGCGCCGCGGAACCGGACGGCGTTCAGCGACGACGCGCGCGGCGTGGTGCACCGCGTGGACAAGATCGTGAGGTTGTACGACCACGTCGTGGTGGCGGAGCAGTGGCGCCTGTCGCTGTGCCTGTTCGGCTTCTCCGAGCGCATCCTGCCGCGCCTGCTCAGGCTGGCCGCGTACAACCGCAACGGCAGCAAGGCGAAAAGGTTCGACGTGCGCCGCGTGCTCGAGGACGCCCGCTTGTACGCAAAGGTCGTGCACAAGATCAGGTACGACTTTGTCCTGTACAAGGCCCTGTTCGCCAAGTTTGCCGCGCAGCTCGACCGCGCTGACGGTGCGGCGCTGCAGAGGTACTGCGCCCTGGTCAAGTGACGCGCGCCCCGCCCCAACCCGGCCCCCGCCCCGTCACGCTCCGCTTCCTGCCGCCGATCGGCCGATCGGCGGCACACGTCTTGCGCCGCCTTGCACCATCGGAAGAGAATAGACGCCGCCTTCCTTTCCTTTCCCCTCCCGCGGCGCCCGCCGTGCTTGACGCTTGTTTCCCCTGCATTATACATTGCCCGTGTAGTTTGTCCGTGATTGCTATCTGCGGCGCGCCTCCCGCCGCTGTAAAACAAAATACGTGCCACGGCGTCACTTGCGTGTCCGCGCCTTTCGCGCCCTCCAACCAGGGAGAACCCGCCCGCCCGCCGCATCGAACGACGCCCCGCTCGCGAGACGCCGTCGCTTTCCGCCCCGCCCAGCGCGCGGTCTGACGCGAGGCCCCGCTCCGCCGTCGCCTTGCCGCCGAGGGCCGCTTACCTGTGCACGGCGCGACGCCCCCCCTTTGTTCCACGCGTCTCGTTGTCATATATTCCGCGGCGACGCTGCGGCGACGCTTCGCTGCGCAAGCGCCCGCCTCCGAAAACCCATACAGTATACCACGAGCCGCGAGCGCTCGGGCCCGGCCGCGCGCGCTACCCAAAACCCCGCGCCGCGCCGCGCCGCGCCGCGCCCGCTCCGTGTGCCCCCGCCGCCGGCAGAGGGGTTTAGGGGTTAGGGGATTTAGGGATTTAGGGGATTTAGGGGATTTAGGGGATTAGGGGAGGCACGCGCCCGCAGACTCAAGACACCGTTCCGCGCCCGCGGGGCGCGGAGAGAGCCGACTCTGGCTCGCGCGGAGGCGCGCGGCTGACGGCTTCCGACAGAGGCGTAGGGCGTGTCTGGCAGCTCGCGTGTCTTGCAGCTCGTGTGTCTTGCCGCTCGTGTGTCTCGCAGCTCGGGAGATATGCGCACGGCTGTTGCCTACCGCCGAGATGACAGGTCATGACAAGTGGGCGTGGCGGTAGCGGCGCGGGTCGGGGCGTCGCGGGACCGCGGGACCGCGACCCGGGAGTACGACCCGGGGAGACGGGCAGATAAAGCGGCGACGCATTGGGTGTTCCCGCGCCGCGCTTGACACCTTCCGTGCCTGTAATTGGCGTATATAGGCCAATTGGCCGGCGGCGGAGGTGCGCGCCCCCCGCGCGGGAGGGGCGCGGCTGCGCGGCGGGGGCCGCGGGCACGGGCGAATCTCGCTGTCGCAATACCGTGGGCGGCGAGCTTGGGCGCAGGAACGGCAGCGCTTTGCGCAGGCGCGGTATCGGAATTCCTCGAGGAATTCCGGTCGCTGGCCCCCCCTCGCGCGAACGGTCGCGTGATCGCTTGCGCGAGGGGGGCCGGCGTCCGACCAAGGCGCCGCGGTTTCGCGCCGGCCCAGCTGCAGCGCCGCAGGTGGCAAGCAGGAAGCTTGGCCGTGCGGAGATATTTAGGGCGCGCGTAAAACCCCAACCCGCCGAACGGTGCGTCGGTCGCGGCGCTACGCATCCCGGACCATTACAGAGTTATACAAGGTTATTATAACCTTGGCTGTTTGCCGCGGAGCCGCGCACGCAACTTCGTGCGCATAAAACGGTATAGCGCGACGCTGTACGCTCTTTTGGTGCTGACAGTGCAAGCAATAAAGCTGCGATTATACCATTGCTCATGTTCAAGTTTGTAAAGGGCCTCAAATGTTACCGCCGTATCCACGGAAAACCTTCAAACGTTTTCCATGCATGTCGTTCTAATCTCCGTCCTTTAAAACATATCAGGTCGTGTACAACACAATACAGACATGCGCTAACCTCGCGTTTCTCCCGGCGTTTCTCGAGAAAAACATTCTACTTGTTCAACATCATCTCGATACTGCATTCCGGTCCTCTACCTCTAGTAGAAAGCAAGAAATCAGATGTAGTGAGAGCGTCCAGCAGCAAACGCACCGTTCCATGTTCCTCGGTGTATGATCAAGGGGGGCGCGTGAGGCGGAGAAGTGGAGCGGGCCGTAGGAGTGGTCACTTATTCGTTCCGCACTCCCCGCGTAAACCTTCAAACAGAGACAAAACTTTGAATCCTTTGCTTCCCGCGAGTCTCCTGTCGACAGACAGAGGAGAAACGATTTGCATCACACCATGTCACTGTAAACAAATATACAGTAGACTTCTTGTCCAGCTTATTGTCATGCTTCGTACCCACCCGTTTCTGAGCGGCCCCTGCATCTCTCCTGCATCTTCCGGAGAGCCCCATAAGGCCATATCGCACTGTACGGTACCTAGTATATTGTTTGCAAGACCTTTGCTCTGTCTCGTATGAACTTAACTACTCTTGTGTTTAAAACAGATAGACCACTGAATGTCTTAGTTTACAATTGCACACAATTTCGAAACGCACTTGCCCTCGGCAGTGATCTCGCGATACCAGTTTTTGAGTACATTGAAAGGCCCAAGTACCCCAGCACGACACAAATAATATTTGTCTGCAGCACGACTCATATATATTATATGAGTCCTGCTGCAGACTGCCCCTCGTAGGGGCTTGGGCTGCCCGCAAACTCGCACCAACTATATCATAGTTTTACATTATGACAAAAAAACAGGGTTCAATGCATTCTCAAACTGCTCCTCTACCGTACTGAACCATGTCTTCGGAAAACAAAAGAGGAGCGAAGCCTACTTCTCACCGCATCCTGGTTTGCCTCAAAATGCGAAACTCACGTGCACTGTGGCGTACCCTTCGGTACCTCATCCGTTTTTTTTCTTCTTACTATCAGGCAAATAGAAACGCAAAAAAAATCCAAAAAGTTGAAAAGGTAATCTCGTTTCCAGCCATATATAAAACTAACTACTGTGGCTCTCTAGCTACCCTTCGGTAGTACAGTAGTACCCTTTGTAGTGTCTAGTTAGACGAAGCGGTTTGCCTCATGTGAGGCCAGCTACGTATTAAATCCAACATGAATCTCAAGTCAATTTCGACACTATTTCTTTAACGCATTTGCCCTCTGCCGTAACATCTTGCAGAACACTGGATACAAATTTTGAAAGCACTGAGACACTAGCAACCTAAACAAGTTGCAATACCCAGATGATGTCTTAAACAGGCGTTATTGTTCAGTATTGGAACACAAAACGTTTCATGTTTGCCCACAAAAGCTCCCTTCCCAGGCATATCTAAAAATAATCGCAAACGACATACAGTTTTCACAAAACTCCATGCTCCCGCAACGCAGAACTCAACTGCGGTCGCAAGGCTATCCTTTTCCTTCCATTGACAACGAACACGTCGAAAATAATAATACAAGTTGAAAACTAGTCTCATACGAGGTCCCTTGTCATCTAGAGGTACTACACGAAATCGTCCCTGAGAGCCCACAAAGCCATAATCGTACTTGTGGAGTGCAAATCGATGCGTTTATGTGGTAGATGCATCTTGTAAGCGGTTTGATTGTAGCCACTGATAGCCGGTGATGATTCGAATAGAGAGGACGGTAATACAGTTGTAGACGGTCAACTGGAGAGACGCTTTTCACATATCAAGAAATTTCGATCTTACAAAGCTCGTTCCAAGGCAAATACATTAAAATTGAATAAAGGGGGCAAGTGTCTCTTGTTCAAATCCAGATATTGTAGAGTCTTGGAGATTATCTCGGTATTACAAGAGAAAAACGGTGACAGAGGGCGAGGAGCGGTGGAAAGAGAAACTCCCTCCGGTTTTCTCTGTAGCGCTGGCTGCTGCTGATCTTTTGCGCTATGTCGTGGGGTTGTGTCGCAAGGATTTGCAGTACAAGACGCAATAGCGCGTCTATTGCGAGTCTATTGCGTCTTGAACTGCAAATCCTTTCACAGTACAGTTCGCGGACTCCAGTAAACCTATGATACTTTCAAGGCCAAGTATCTGTGATTGGAGCATGGGCTTGCGACAAGCTCTTGTGGGGCGCAGCCTGCCTACTTGGATATTTTATTTCTTCTTGTTTCATCGCACGGTGGGAAGATGGAGCGTCAATTATTCTGCAAGTTTTATTACGTATACTTGTCTCGACTTGTTCCTCATTCAGTACCACCCTTACGGGGCATCACCCTCACTCACACTGTCGGCTTGTGCAAGAAGAGGGGGAGTTGATACCCGGATGCGTATTTATTTTGTTTTGTGCTTTACCAAAAAGGACGAGAACATGAAACATTATCTCAAAAAAATGGTCCTAGAGTATTTGTGGTTTCTGCAGTGCCAATGAAATTCATTTTGAGGAATGCGGAGCTAGACTGCCGGCAGTGCTTTGAGCTCCCGAGTGTCCGGTCTTTGTTAAAGGGGTGTACAGTAGAAGAGAGAACAGCAGCGATCCCCGGGCCTTTCTCCTTTGCTCAACCGTGAAACTGGCGCTGCTTCAGGATGTTTGTAATTGAAAAGGCAGAAAAGGGGGTTTTCTTGGGAGAAGGAGACGACATCTCAGGTGTGAGCTCGCACAACGGCATGGCGGACAGCAAGGAGACAGCAATCCTCAGCTACACCCTGCTTGCTGCCTTGCGCAGTTGTACAGCTAGCTGATGCTGATGCTATATACAAGTAAATTTAGCAGCGTCTGGAATTGTCGTGCATCCAGCCGAGCCTAGTCATGGCGTTGTTGCCAACAGCGGGAGAAACTTGTCTTGCACCATGTGGTATGGACAGGCCAACAATAGCGGGGTTCCTCCAATTGTGGGGGATTGGTTGCCTGCGGGGAATTTTTTAACGTTCATAGAGCTGGGCACAAAACCAATAAAAAATGTAAATGAAAAATGTCAATGGAAAGCGGCAGCTGTACGAAACTAGTGAAGATATGTCACGTGCGTTGAACGTTCGCTGTAATCCTCAGTAATCCTCACTGGTCTCTCAATCCCCATACAGTATGTGGCACCGTGTCTCCAAAAAAGATGTCGCGCTACTGCTGTGGACATCCCCTTGAAGATTCCCATTTCACTAATACCCAAGCACTCCATTCAAGAAAGCAGGCATCGAATCCTCGCATGAAACGTCATTACAATGCCCGAATTATTAAGAGAGGTCAGTGCAGAAAGGAAGCATGACTGCCACCATCAAACTGAAGATTGTATCTGCCAAGATAGGCATATTCCGGCAGGGAAAACCTGCAAGACAGATCGGTTTCTCTGACGAGAACCTTTTCTTTCCCTCGTCATACCCTATCGATCTACTGCTAGTTTGTAGGCAAATTGACATGACGAGCAGTGAAGCCCTGTCTTCTCTAAGTAAAACAACAAGCTGTTCGACCGCAGAGCGATTCCTCCCGTGACGACTGACCTGGACGAAAAAGAATCCCTTTGATTGATAAACCCCGCTCTTGCAGCGGACATTTCGAACTACAAGCAGT